CCCCCCCCCCCCCCCCCATCTCATCCTGGGAATGGGAATAAGTGCCTTGTAGATTAAGGCAAAACATCTATTTTAAGCAGAGCTCTATTTTTATTTTATTTTTTTGACTCACATTGTTCTGGACAGTGGAAGTGATAAGCCAGACTTCAGATAAAGGTTCTGTAAGTCACAGGCTTTTAGACATTGAGGAAACAAGTGGAACACAGGGGTGATCTCGAGTCCTTGATCCCGAGAGTCAGTGGCCTGTGGAGCTAATTTAGATGGTGTCCTCTGGACAGGAAGACAGTGTAAGTCCAAGGTTCCAGGTAACCAAGAAGCCTGCAGGTAGTTGAATATACGTTGTTTATCTTAACTCACAATACCCTACAGAAAGGACTTAGCACCCGGCACAGTCATCTTTGCCAAGAGAGTCAGTGATCAGAGAAGTGAAAGAAAGCCTGAGTCAAGGTGTGCTCTTAGGTCAACGACAAGCGTCCACCTAGGAGAGGCCAGCCCACTCACACTGTCGGCATAAGGTACTCCAGAGGGCCCAGTGCTGGGCCTTTGAGCCACATTGATCTCTAGAAGTCATTCAGATCCAGGCCCAGGTCAGTGACTCAGCCAGGGAATAATATTTTGAGACAAACAGGAGATGGGCAGCCTATAAAGTCATGAGACAGAGTTTTTGATTGACACATGAATGGTAACTGAAGATACTGCCAGGTCAGAAGTTCAAAATTATGTCTTTAGCAACACTGACATCTTTGGAATCCAATGTACAGTAATTTAAGTCCAGGTATGTTTGTCAGAGTTTAGTCTTACTACTTCATAGCCACATGTGTGTGTGTTTGTTTTTTTAACCATTCTATAGTCTCAGGTTTCCTGACTTACGTGTAAACAAACAGGAAAACCATCTCTAAAAATGTGGGTTTATGTGATTTTTTCCAGAGTCCCCTCCCCCCCCAAAGGGTTGAGCATCTTTTCTTAAAAAAACAAAACAAGTAAGAAAAAACAGCTATTTTCCTGGAGAATAACACATCCTCCTCCCCAAAGAGAGAAAACCCTGCAGCAGTCTGCAACTGCCTGAACACTAATTCAGCTCTCTTAGAGATAGGAATTACTCTTCATGTCTTTATTGGAGAGAAGTGGACAAGCCGATGTGAAGGTCATTAGACTTCTATTTTGTTGGTGAAAACCGCTACTCTTATTTAATAGATGGCATGTCTTTAGGGGGCACCAGTGTAGCAGGCCAGGTGTAATGATAAATAAGGTGTGATTATAAATGACACGTCTTCTCAGTTTTGGGGAGACAGGGCATGGTGGGGACCATGGTAAACTGAAGTGCTCCTCTCCTACCTACAGGCCGCAGGTACTCCAGCCAATTGGGCACACAATGTTTCCTGATCTTCCCATCTTTCAGGAGAAGCTGAGCTTTTGGGTTTTTATATGAAAAATTCTGATTTGTTTAGAATTGACAACTAAATTATAAAACATTTTAAAATGCATTCAGACCCAACAGAACACATGGGTGGACCTGATTTGGCCCACTAGCTGCCAGTTTGTCACCAATCTCTGCTTCATAAGATTTGAAATGAAAGGCATGCATGGTAATAACAGATTTCTGGTACCACCAGAAAATGCTCTTGCTAAATGCAGTCAGTAGCTAGAGTGCTGCTTTCCCTCATTGCTCCCCCAAAGAAATGTGATATGATTGTGAATGTATTTGAAATGTTTTGATTGCTTTCTTTACATTTTGTGGTGTTTTCAGAGAAAGGCAAGCCAGCTGTTAATTTTAAAATCAGGTTTCTCTCAATTTAAAAATATGACATTTGAAACAATTTCATTTAAGCTGTACAACCTGAAGGACCTTATTTGTAATTATAGCTCTTGGTTTAAAAAGTGTTTTAGATGATGTGCAATTCTGAGCTTAGGCCAAGACTGAATAAGGAAAAGCAGGCATTGTGGGGAATAGGGCAAGGAACTGAGTGTGTACTAGAGCCAGGTATTTGCATCGTCTTCGGCATTAAATGACCTGTGAATTGATTCTGGTTCAGAGGTGTGAAATTATATACCAAGAAAAGCTTTTTTTTTTTGTATTGAGATAGTAGTTAGGAGTCCTCATGGGGTATTGGGTCATCCTTGCTATATCTCCTCCTTTCCAGGCTCAGGGTGAAAATAAACAAAAGGAAGTCTAACTGTAAGCCAATAGCTCTGATTCCGATTTCAGAGTTTTGGGGGTGGGTGAAAGTTTGGGTTATCTGGCATGCTCCCCGATGACAGACAAGGCTGCGCCTGAATTATTTCAGACATATGGCTGTGGATGGAATCCTGGATTTTCAGCAGAGGAGATTCTGTAACCTATCCTGCTGATCAGATAGTTCTTTGTACGTCTTCCCTATAGAAATTCAAACCAGCCTTCTTTTGTTCAGTGTGCAGTGGAAAAAGAACAGCTGGTCACCTTCCCTATGTTTGAAAACCATAGTGAAGTCATTCCCCTGGTGCTTTTATTTCAATGATAAATAATCCCACCTACTTAAGCCATTTTTCATAGCTCTTATTTTCCAAGGACTTAGTAGTTTTCCCTGCTATTCTGTTTCTCAGCTTCACACTCAGTTTAACTGCCCAAATAGAATGAGGTGCCTTATTCACGTTGGTGCTTTGTGAGGGCCAAGCTCAGGATGGGGATTACAAGGAAATTGTTTTGTGCCCAGCTTCTCTTACTACTTAAGCATTTAATGGCACTTTATAAAATGATATATCACCTATATTCATTTGGGGATTGTTTGCCACTTTTTTGGTTATTGTTTTTTTCTTGGTGGCAGTACTCTTGTCATAAGTGCCCCCCCGCCCCCCCCCATGCTTAAACATTTGGTGCACATTCTTAATGTGTTTAATGTAATTCCTGAACTTCTTCAAGATACTCTTTAAAGACCAGCTCTTACCTTCTGGGTGGCAGCTACTCCTCCCTCTCAATTGTGGGTTTTATTTTTTTTTATCTCTGGACATTACCTTTATTACTCACAATATTATTAAATGGTTCAGACTTCAGTTTGACCACTGGTGAGATAGACAGTAGTTGCTAAGGGCTAAATTGCAGAGAGGTCGAATGAAGACCTCTTGGGAATTTTGGTTAGTTGTCTTCTCTCCTGCTCTTTGGTTCCTTTCCAAAATTCAGCTGGGACCACAGACTCCCCACGGGGCCTTTTTACGTTCTAAAAGGTTGCAGCCATGGCTCTGAATTGACCAAGCACTGTGTTTTCATATCCAGAAGATTTAACAAAAGCAAACCATTATGACTGGTTTATGCCATATAAGACTCAGATGCAAAGAAGCAATCTTTTGTTCATAAGTGATGTAGACAAAGCTGACTGCTCTATTCATTAGACAAAAAAATTACCATTGGATTATACTAATGTGTAATCATCTGTTATTTTTTTAAAAGGGTGTTTTGTTTTGTTTTTGTCTTGAGAAAAACCGTGAGTGTGAACAAAGAAAAAATTTGTAAAAATCAAATGTGTTCACTTAGAGAGTAGGTAACTTCTGTTTTCAGGGTTAGTTTTTTTCCTTTCCTACTACAGAAGCTCCCTGTTAGCACATTCTTGGGGAAAGCCTGTGGAACATGGTGGTTATTGCCATTGTCTTTGTTTCATCTTTAAGTTTGTCCCTTGTGGCGTCTGGTGGAATAGTGAGCACTGACAGAAGATAGCATTATTTTACATGGAAAACAATGTCTTTTTCGATTTGTACATAACTGAATAGGTGACAGTAGATCACAGCTGACATTTGCAAAATGTTGTTTTTGTACTTTTAGAATTTCTGCATCAAATAAAGTGTTTTGTTTTAAGAGTGTGGTGGTTCATTATTCTAGATTCTTTCCTGTTTCCTGACTAGCTGGGGTTCCTAACCCGGTTTTCTGAGGGCTCTCCCTCTGAGGAGGAGAGAAGTTTCCAGGGTGAGGAGCGAGCATGGTCAGTATGCCCTGTACTTTGAAGAGGAAACGAACCTGCTGCCTTGACCATTTACCTCACCCTCCCGTGGGCAGTGGCCTGCTGGCCTGTGTGGCGTCTGGAGCAGGAACAGGAATACTTACATGAGGAAGAAACTTGGCTCTCAGAATAAATGGACTTTCTTTGCAGAAATTTGACAGCCATTACAAGCGGGAGCCACTAACACATTTCCTGTCGTTAACAGAAAAAGAGGTGCCTGCTCACTCTGAGTGAGTTCTTGGTGCACCTTGACTTCAGGGCCCGTTCCCAGCTCTGCTATCATTGTGACTGACTGCATCTCTGGGTCTTAGTTTCTCATCCAAAGACTGGACCAGTCAAAGGCCCTCCTTCCCAGGGAGGTGAATTGAACAGGGTGATGGATGTGAAGTGCTTTCTGGCACATAGTACAGTTGATCCTTGAACAACATGGGTTTGAACGGAGAGTTCCCTTATCTGTGGATATTTTTCATAAGTATGTCAGAAGAGATGCACACGTGACCCCTCCACATCTCTGGGTTTCGCATCTGCTCATTTAAGCAACCACAGACGTGGAGGGCCTTTACCTGAAAAGGATATGGTGGCAGTTCATAGTAGATCTTGGAAGCATAAGACTTTAAAAACCAGGTTTCCTTGTTTCCTTGTTCCTGCCCCTCTCTTCCTCCCAACAGGAGGAGTGGCAAAACAGCTCCCAGCGAAGCACGGTGGTTCCCAAGAGGAGGGAATTCTGTCAAGCTCTGGCCTCAGAGACCTTGGCATAGCCTTCATTTTTCCTGTTTATTCGTCCAGGATACTGCTGGTCGTTGTGCTCACTGAGTTTTCTCCGATGCTCTCTGCTGGTGCTCCTTATTC